AATCTGCCAGGCTCTGGCCGGCCAAGGAGCGTTCGCACACCGGAAAATATTGCTGTTGTGAAGGAGAGTGTGAGAGACGATCCGAAACAATCAACAACGCGTCGATCCCAAGAATTAGGCATTTCGAGAACCAGTTTGCTCCACATTCTCCACAAGGATTTGAATGTACACGCCTCAAGATCCAATTGACGCAAGAGCTGCGTCAGGCCGACCATTTTTCGCGCCGAACGTTCTCAGATTGGCTCCTTGAACACCGCCAAATTGATGCCAATTTTTCATCAAAAATCATGTTCAGCGACGAAGCGCATTTCACTTTGAATGGGACGGTAAACAAGCATCTGGGCGAACGAAAATCCCCGTGAGTATCAAGAGCAGCCGATGCATCCTCAAAAAGTGACTGTGTGGTGTGCATTGTGGTCAAAAGGCATCATCGGACCTTACTTTTTCGAAAATGCGGCCGGGGACGCCGTTACCGTCAATTCTGAGCGATATCACGTGATGATAGAGGACTATTTTTTGCCGCAACCTAAAGGAATGGATATGGACGATGTTTATTTCCAACAAGACGGTGCAAAATGCCACACAACCAACGTCAATATCCATCGATTGCAGTCCTTCTTCGGTGATCGCGTGATTTCGCGCAGAGGAAATGTGCCATGGCCACCAAGATCGTGCGATTTGACTCCCTTGGACTTCTTTTTATGGGGATATTTGAAAAGCAAAGTCTACGTCAACAAACCAGCCACCCTCCAAGAACTCAAAAACAACATCATTGCCGAGATAAATGCCATAGAACCGACCATGCTGCAAAATGTCATTGAAAATTTCGACCATCGCGTGGACGTCTGTAAATCCAGTCGTGGTGAACATTTGAGCGATATTAATTTTCATACATAAATGGTATAAATGAACCTTCAAAATAAAGTACTCAACTTGATTTGAATATCAATCTTTCTTGTTTTAATATGCGTTTACTTTCCTGCGTCCGTTTTGGACAACCCCATATATTACGAAAACGGTCGATCTTTAAAAAGTACTTTTCGCTAGCTTCGTGATGAATTTGTCGACATCATCGTCCCACAGAGTGTGGAATTCGGTGGATTATCAATCGTTTTGAGGAAACTGGCTCAGTTGAAGTTCGTAGAACATATCAACATGCCCGTCCGGTACGTACACGTGAATCAGTGGCCGCTGTGAGTGTTCATGAACAGCCATCAACTTCGATAAGTCACCGTTCACAAGAATTAGACATCAGGCCAACAACATTATGGAGGATGATTTTGCATGTTGATCTCCACCTACACCCATACAAGATCCAACTGACTCAACAACTGAAGCCAGCGGACCATCAGCAACCGCGTATTTTTGTTAATTGGATGCTTGAAAAAGGAGAGGAATTTTCGGCTAAAATCATCTTTTCAGACGAGGCCCATTTTTACCTCAGTGGCCACATACATAAGCAAAACTGTAGGATTTGTTGTTCGGAAAATCCGCACGAGATCCATGAACAACCTCTACATGATCAAAAAGTAACTGTTTGGTGCTGATTATGGGCTAGTGGCATCATTGACCCGTTCTTTTTCGAGGATGAAGAAGAAAAAGCCGTTACGGTCACCGCCGAACGTTATCGGTATTGGTATAATAACGTATTTTTTTGGACGAAATTGGAAGGTATTGATGTAGACGACCTTTGCCAAACAATCCTGTTATTGGCCGATAAATTTCCAGATCGCATTATTTCGAGAAATTCCGACCTGAATTGGCCTCCAAGATCGTGCGACTTAACTATTTTCTCTGAGGATTTTTGAAAAGTAAAGTGTACGCGACTGCCCCACGCACGATTCAAGATCTTAAGCGCAACATTCGCCCCGAAATTACGTGGACCCGCTAATACTGCAAAAAGTCATCGAAAATTTTGATGTTCGGATGATGGTATGTCAACGGAGCCATGGTGGACATATGTGCGAAGCTATATTCCATACATAAATGGCAAAGACCGACCTACAATTTTAAATAAAGAGTTCGGTTTCTCACTCATAAAAAGTGGGTTTCTTTTAGATTAAAAAAGAAGGAACGGATGGAACAGCATATACTTCTATGGAACCTCTACCATACATATAAGTTTGTTGGTGGCACAACCCTTTGTTTGGATTCTGCAAACTTTTTTCAATTTCGGTAGTCAATCGTTATAGGCACAGAATCAACTTGTAGTCTCCTGATTTTTCGTGTAAAATTATAAAGATGCTGTATTGTTTAACCGGAATTACAGTAGACCTTGAATTATGCTGTGGTTGACTAAGCGCTGCACGCTCTCCGTCCTGTATCTCAAAAACGATTAGTTGTTTGAAAAAATGTTTAAAACTAAAGTTGCAGAGAATGCTATTTTCTAGAATGCTCATTATAAATGCAAAGCCTATAGAGAGCGATATCTTTGAAAAAACAGATTTTTCTGACCTTTGACCTTTTATATTTTAAGAAGCGGACACGAGATTGCATGGGACTCTTAAAACAACCTTTGAAAATGCAAAATTAATCTCTCACTCCGAGGATGACCCTTTTTATGGCTTATATAATTGGACTATAAAACCAGATTGAACTTAAGAACAAACTTGGCTTTTCAAATTTGTAAAATGTTTTTTCAGTTCTTTCCGCAAGGCTAAATATATTTAATACAATAGATGCCTAGTGAACTACACTCCTTGAAATGAACATGTTTGCGTTTCGTCTTTATAACCAAGAACGCAAATAAACAAAAATCAAACAAATGTTCGCTTGAAAAACTGAGCGCAGGAAGGCGACAAAACGACGATCTCCACCTACCAATGGTTTGCGAAAGTTGATGAGGATGAAGATCAACTTTGGCAAGCCATTGGTGGAAATCGTCAGATTTTTCTCCTGAGTCCACACAAAACCATACTAGAAACACATAATAGCGGCTTCAAATACCATTTTTGTTGACATTGACACCATTCAGCATAAATGTATCTTTCATTAATCTCCAATGTTTTCGTCTTGGTCTAACCATCTTATCTCTCGTAGTATTGATTTTTACGCGTTCTTCTCCATCAATTTTGATAGACCGTACAAGTTAAATATCTCAAACACACTAAACTTGTCTCAATGCAGAAATATCAAAATATGGTGAATGTGGCATGTTCTTAGAATGATCCGGATTGCGCTCCCGCCACTTTTTGAACATCTTCCGCCATAATCTGCTAGGCAAAACAATTGAATTCAATCTGTCGCACTTTTATTTATTTTCATGTGTTGTGTTCAAGCATGAGTACAAACTAGAAATTGGACATATGGAAAATATTAACGAATTCGGACGTGGTATGCGGAGCAAATATGCGATTTACTCTGATCCAAAATGTCGTAGTCAGTAGTCAGGATGCAAGAGCAAACTATAAGCCGATCAGGCTAAAGCCGCGAGCGAGTCTCAAAGTTGTTATCACTTTGCATTAAATTGATATTTTCTTTGCGGAAACATATAAAGGTGCCTGGGTTGCATACAGTTACAGAGTTTCAGACAACTGCAGAAAAAGATGAAGGTTTCTGTGGATTGTAAAAAGCAGTTTTAGCGAAACCAAAGCAGATCACTTTTTGTCAATGATGACATAGGATAGTTATCAGCGTTGGAAAAGTTCATGTACCTCAACTTTAGTCCGCCTGAACAGTTGTGACATAGTCTTGGTTTTTTTCATGTCAGTTGTCTATCGAGTGCTGACAAAGTTACATACCTAACACAACATTAAATAATGCGAAACATTGGAGACAAGCCAGGATTTATGATGAATTTTGAAAGCTGATACTTCAGCTTTGAGTCTTATTGACTTTAATTTTGAATCTAAGAGCTTCTAAGAAAGGGCTTTTCTTTCGCGTTTACTCCTTTTAAACCACGAGATTTCGATAAGGAACCTCAATGCGTCCCAAAAAATCTATTGTATCAAATTAATTAAATCACTTCTAAATCTTTTTATTGAATCAATATAGCCGCAATTAGATAACAGTAGTAGTTACCATGTACTATTCAACTAGGTATTTGCTTTTAGCCACGAATCTCGTCGGATCACATACAATATAGATAGCTATTTAGAAAAACCGAATGGCATTTCGAATATTTTGTCATTGCTGTTGTTTAATGTAGACCATTTTTGAATATTTTAATCATTCAATATTATGGAATAAGCTCGAACTGTTCATATGTTCCGTTAATAAATAATCATTCGCGTTTCCATGCCTTATATAATGTGTCACTGCCTTAACAATAATCAACTAATTTACACCACATAGTATTTTTGCATTGCTATACGAGAATAGACCCAATACAATTGGCTAGTTGTGTTTTCATTCCAAAGAAAAGAATGTACACCGATGTAATGGTTTGTCATTTTGATATCCATTAGTAAACACTGTCATAGACTTCTAAAATATTAGAATTCGTTAGAGGATACGAATATATCTACGATACGCCTCCATCGTTTTTGAAAATAATCTTTCCTACTATCTAGCAACTCCTCAGCATGGTCTAGGCTTGGTCTCGGGTAGGGCAACGAGCGAAGCAACTATCCTCTATCCAGCTTACAGTTTTCACTCCCTCTGTGGTCGTTTCCGGTAATAGATGGCACTTTGTGCTGTTTTATTTCGATAGGCCTTACACTTTGGATAGAGGATGGTTGCTCAGCTTTTTTTTGCCCTACCTGAAACCATGCTGAGGTAGTTGCCATATAGCACAAAACAGATATCCATTGTTGACCGTGTATGGTCTGCTATAGCACCAGAAACGACGGCGTCTAGCGTCCATAGTGGTGACCCAGCTGACAATGCAAACTGGGATACAGTTTCAACAGACAGCTTGCAGTTTTCAGTTTCGCTGAGCTCGATTTTGGTAATAGATGGAACTTTGTGCTGTCTTGTTTGGATAGTTTATATCTGTTACGATAACACAATTGGGTGCTTGCACATATGTAGTGATTTGTAACATGTCATTTCTTTTGCAGCTTTCCTATTTTATGCGAAAAACCTAATCTAAAGTACACCGGCATAGGCCTAGAGGATAATCTTTTGAAGCAAAATGTCACAATCAAACATATTGTTATGGACTTTTCTGGTTTTCATCAAGAAATCAAAGGAAGAAATTTTACTAGGCTGACTAGATCACCTGTGAAGGATGGAGTTAGTAAAAATATTACGATGGTGCTGGAAAATCTATTGAAAAATTATGAGAGTTCTCAATTGCCGACACATGGTAAGGGTAAGTATGTACTAGAAATTATAGCAGCAAAATACATCGATCCAAAGCTTGTGCTACGAATTGACAAATGTTTAAATGTTGAAAAATTAAAACTCTCATCTTTTTTGTTTTAGCGATTCAAATTAATCAAGTTTCTCTGACTCCATTATAAAACGGTTCTTACCTAAAAAAGGCCCTCGTAAATTCCACCATCTCTTATAAAATCTATTTTGATCGTCTGCGGGAGTGTCACCGATGGTGCCTATGCAAATGTATGGGGTTGTTTGTATGTGTTGCTGGGAGTACGAACGGAAGGGATTCTAATGTTCTCTGTGATTTACGGGAAGAATCCGAAGACTCTAAGACTGAACTATGTCCTTTAAGAACGGAAAAGGAAAAACGCTGCGCTGGCTTGCGTGGGGCACGACCTTGCCATAGGTATCCATTAGTCAGTAGCGGTGCAACAATGAACATAGAAGTAAATACGCCAGGCGCTCAAAACCATTTTTTTTAATTGATCTAAAAAAATGCCTCCGCTATTTTATGTAGAATGAATAAGGGACACCATAAACTTTATTTGAGAATACGAGTATAACCATTGAAAAATTTACAGTTTCAGAAATGAGATATTGTGTTTTTTGGATGCTATATGACATGTTTATCACTAAAAACCGGCGAAAAACGAAAACACTAAAAATCGCTCAACCGTCCTTTTCAGAATACTGTTTAGAGCGGCTTAATGTGGAGTGTTAGGGGGTTGGTGTTTGGTGCTTATGATAAACTCAAAAACTACTCAACTACCTCACCAGTAAATAGAGGGATTCATAACGATGGTTAAGGGTTATAGTTTTGTGTCAATTAACTAAAACATGACAGAATGGTTTTCGCTGGGTCTTAAAATTGCCTCTATAAATAACTCATTAATTGGCGTACGTAAAACGTAAAACGTAAAACGTATTTAATGCTACATAAAATAAATTGCCATATGTACTTATCATGATTCATAAAAAAGTCCGCGACGCTTTATATTCTTAACATGATACTCAACTCACAATAACGGAATAACATACAAATTAGACAACAACGTGTAAATAAACACTCAATTATATACAGCAAACTACATGCAATTCGTTAGTTGTCATGCGGTTACAGTGTTTATTACACGGTTGATCTTGGTTAGATCACTAAATCCCCCTCAGGGATCATCTTTTTTTAGTTTTTGACATACGAAATCTAAACATAATGTGTTTACGATAAATCCAGCAGCCTCAATGATAAATACAAAATATATGTGTATATCTATTTTTTTTTTGATATTGGTACGAGTGACCACCCTGTAACAAATATCCTAAACCACATTCACTGATGAGTATGCATAATAAGCATGTTGCATTTCTATCAGCTGAAGTTTGGATACTATAAATTATAAAAGCTATCATGTTTTGATGTCTATTCTTAGTCTCCCATCAAGAAAAATAGCTCAATATTTGAGCAAGAGAATATTCGTTCTGCATGTATATATTTTTATCGTACATAGTCGGTCCGGTAATATTAAATTATTTGTCTGATACTATGTCGCAAATGAAAAAAAGGGGTAGCAAAGTGAAAACCCGATAAGAGCACATCGATATCTATAAGAGACATACATTTTCCAAAACAAAAGAGTTCCAGTCACCTAATAATTGGACTTACGATATGCCAGATATGTCACTTGTAATGGGCGTCCATTAATTACGTGAAGCGTTCAGGGGTTGGAGAATAAGGGGTCGAGTCACACAATACTATTTGAAGGAGGGCTGAGGGGTCTCTACAAATATCACGTTATTTTTTTCCCGCAATAACCTGTGTATAATTGCGAAAAATTAGTTTAAATTATATTAAAGTAAACCATGCTTCTTGAATAAAATGTGGCAATATCCGACTCAATAATATTTGTCGTGGTTATCACGCAGCAAAGGAGCAACACTTTATTAATTTTAGTGTAAAATTAAGGGCTTAAGTATCTTATTGTTCAATTTTGTCACTGTGATTTTAGACTACGATCTAAGCCATGTTAACTAGGTTTGAATAAAAGTAATGGAGAAAATTATGTATATTTTTTTAATAAATTCAGTGCATTTTTGCTAAAAATAGAAATTTTTAACACCAGGCGACGAGGTAGTGCCACATTTCGCGACACCTCGCCAGGAGTGGACGGGGGAGAGAAAGGAAGCAGTCGAAACGTCTTCCGTAATTGAAAGACGCTTTCTAACGAGAAAGTAGAAATGCCCATTCTCCTTTGTTATGCCACTGTGCAGAAATCAAATTATTCCGATACAGCAGCTGCAGCTGGTTGATATATGAGTGGTAGACGTATAGGCATACCGTGACTCCATGTAATACCTTGCTCTTCCAGAGCTGAAAGTTGTTGCATATGCATAATACAGCGACCGCTCATAGTCTGCTCTAATACTGCTTCATCAATGTGATACACGCTACACTGCGACTAGGAATATCCCGATTTTATTAGAATTATCCCAGAGTATCTGTAGAAGATGGCATATGAAATAGTACATTATTTTGTTATTGATTTAAAGCAGTGGTCGCCAACCCGTCGATCGCGAGCTACCGGTAGCTCGCAAAGGCAATTCTAGTGACTCACAACATATTTTAAAAAGGTGTAAAAATCATAGAAGCTTCCGTAAATTTTGTAAATACTGCGGTGAACGATCTGTTCGAGAACGATCTCGATGACTTTGAACGGAATATATACGCAAGGCGCGGCGATAGTGCGCTCAGTTTAAAACTGTACGGCATAAAGTCCAGTGGTTGGGTGAGAGTTTCCTGCAATCAAGAACATTATAAGCAGTAGTAAGAAGATGAAGACATACCATTTCCATTCGGAATGAGAAGAACAATATTTCTTTACAGTTGTTAAAGGTAAAAATGTATGTTTGTTATGTAATACATCTTTTTCCGTTGCTAAAAAAGAGAATGTCGAGAAGCACTATAAAACTGTATATTCGAATTTTGAAAAATCATTCCCATTACGTACTGCAACCAGAACGGAAAAACTGAAACAAAAAATAAGTTAATTGGATAACAATGTTTTTGAAATAAATCGACAAAAGTAAGGCTGCAGCTGAAGCATGATACCGGGTGTCTCAGTTAATTACACAAAAGAAGAAGCCTTATGAAGACGGGGAAATGATAAAACAGGCATTTTTAGAAGCTGTAGATTCATTATTTGCCAGCTTTATAAATAAAGACGAGATGTGTCTGCTATAAAGTCTATGCAACTTTCTGCTAATACAGTGATGAGACGAGTAGAAGTAATGAGCAACGATATGGTTTTACAGTTACGAAATGACTTCGATAACTGTGTTTGTTTTTCACTGCAGCTGGATGAATCCACAGATGTCGTTGACACCTCTCAGATGGCAGTGTTCGTCAGGATCGTTTTTAATGATTTTACGATTAAAGAAGATCTTTTGAAGTTTATACCACTAAAAGGGCAGACTACTTGGCAGGACTTGTTTTCTTCTTTTAAAAATATTATTTCTTCTGCGAACATTTCGATATCGAAAATGGTAGGCTTGACAACCGATGGCGCTCCAGCTATGATGGGTCGTGATAAGCGTCTCGTGGGGTTATATCGTAAAGATGAAAGTCTTCCGCAATTTCTCTGTTACCACTGCATTATCCGTCAGCAAGCATTATGTGGACATTTTCTAAAACTAAACAACGTTATGAAATTGGTTGTAAAAATTGTGAACAAGATTAGAGCTCAAGCGTTGCAAAGAAGATTATTCAAAACCTGGGCGGATGAAATTGACTGTCAATACGGGAAACTACTTCTTCACTCTGAAGTCCGATGGTTAAGTAGGGGACAAGTCCTGAAACGTTTTAATGATATCATATCTGCCATAGTTCAATTTTTCAAACAACGTGATGAACCGATTCCGGAACGGGAAAATTCAATCTGGCTTAGAGATTTTTATTTTCTTGTGGATATTACAGAGAAATTAAATGAACCTGATTTGCAGCTTCAGGGGATAGACAAAGAAATAGCAGAAATGATTTCTGATATAAAAGCGTTTATCAAAAAGCTTGAGTTTTGGGAACAAAACCTAATCGATGGCGATACCAGGTATTTTCCTGTTCTTTCAGAAAAGGTATCTCAAAGTCCGTTAGATCCATATGACAGTAAATATCATGTAGAAATAGTCTCTAACTTGAAGGATTACTTCAAAAATCCTTTCAAAGATTTCAACGAAATTGTTATAGTGGCGCAATTTGTTGTTTCAGCCTTCATGGGAATTGATATCCAACAATTTGCAATTTCTTTAACGCAGAATTTTAGCGAAGACATCGCTTCGACAGAATTGCGTTTCAAAATGATTTAGCTTTAAAATCATTAGTCTCAAACACAAAATTTATCTGGCTTTCAGTAAGTGAAGATAAATATTCAGTTTTATCTCGTGTTGCCTTGAAAGTGAAAGCATTATTTATTTCAACCTATTTGTGTGCGTATTCTTTTTGAAATATGAAGTTTATTAAAAAGAAATACCGTAATCGACTTACAGATGAACATTTGTATAATTGTATTCGAATGGCGGTATCAAATTATACTCCAAACATTAAAAAAAATGTCAGTGAGTCTGAGTGTCAGGTGTCTCATTGAATACGCATTTTTTATCATTCTTTTGTTTAAAATAGTGCGTTGCTTTTTTATTTTTAGTTGCCTTTATTAAGTCGTATGTGACATGCCATTGTAGCTAATGAAAAATTTTGTTTATTTTTCAAACACCTACGATTGGTAGGAATGGATGTAGTTATGTAATATGTATTACTTATTAGTTTATTTGAGTTTATTAGTATGTATTAGTATTAGTAAAATAAACACATGTATATCGCATACAACTGTGTATAATTTCATTTAAGTTGGCTTACATTGCTTACGACTAGGTAGCTCACTGTTTATTCCAAAATTATCAAAGTAGCTCAATACACTGAAAAGGTTGGCGGCCACTGATTTAAAGGAATATGAAAAATGGTAAAAAATGCATTCTATAAGCGTAGAACTTTTACTTTGTTGTGTTAATTTCAAACTATACTAGGGTATCGAAAAGGAAATACATCGCACGACATCTCCTTGAACACGGCAGGACACGCTTGCACCGACTTAGTCAATTCAAGTGCACGCTGCGCCAAGGGCCAATAAAAACTTTAATCTAACTAAGCTAAGCTAGAGTTTACCTTAATCAACTTTAATTTTGAATCTAAAAGTTCTTAGGAAATGTACTCTTGCGTTATAAATAGTAATTTTGCGATCTCATTTTAGTGCCCCGAGACTCGAGAAGCTCAGTACGCAGAAAAAAGGAATATGATATGATGAATATCAAATTGAATAAAATTCTTCTAAATCTTTTTAAGTAAAAATGATATAACAGCAGAAATTCCCATATTATGCTGAACTAGCTATTTGCTTTTAGCCAAGAATCTTCTCAGATCACGACACCTATTCAGAAAAACCCCGTAGAATTCATGCAACGGTGTCCCACTATTTCCAATATCAGGTAATCAGACATTGTCGCTGTCTGATGGAGAGAATGTTTCGTATTATTCACTTTCCGAAATCGCGAATTAAGCAAAATTTTTCATATGCATATAAACGTTCACTTTCGTTTCTTTACTCTAGTTTATTTATCCCTGTTTATTAACAATAACTGAGCGATTTAGTAAACACTTTTGATTCATTTGTCTTCCATTGCCTAGTAAAGTGACAACGTTGTATCAACCAAATAGTAATACTTACCAGAGGAAAAATCTACCTAGTCTGAATTCGTAGATCGGGACAACGACAAGATTCATTGCAGACCTACTTAAATAGCACTGACTTTCTACAAAGATTAAAGCTGTACCCCTACCAAAAGTGAATAGATGCGCTGCGCTATTTGTCTAATCATACCCCTGGTCTGCGAAATAATTGTAAAGGCTGGTTTTATTGCTGCAAGTTGTTCAAGAGGTTATTCAAAACATGGACGCATAAAATGATTACACCTATTTTTGTGGGAAAACTTTTTATTCGACAACAAAGAAGGAAAAAACGGGTTTTTTGGGATTCAATCGAAAAAAAGGAACGAAAGAAAAACTCTTCATATAAGATTTTTAGGTATTTATAAGACCTATAAAATGAGACCACACGTAAATGATCCGACTAATAGCAAAAAAGTTATGGCCGAAAACCGAGGCAAACTGCAGGTTTTGGCACTTGTTGGTAATGCGACGATGGTTTCTCGCAGATAGTTGAAATTCTTCAAATTCATAGGATTCGAACTTTTAAATGACCACAACAAAATTGGAGTATATCTATTTGCTTATCCCAAACTACCCGTTTTCCGGCCATCACTACTAGTTTATTGAGCAATATACAGGGTTAGTTTAAAGGGAATTTTATAGCAAAATACACTAGTTTACCTTGTCGATATGAATTGCAAACCATTCCGGAAGATAACTGTTATTTTTATGCAAAAAAGGATGGGTTACGTTTTTTCTTCTAAACATATTCAAACATTTCGTATTTGTGAGGGATTCGTAACAAAAAACGATAGACACATCCGCTTTGTTTTAAAATGTGTAAATTAAAGTATGTTTTTCGAATATCGTAGCGCCTTTGTTCAATTATTGCTCACAAGTACGAAATGTTTGAATTTGTTTAGAAGAAAAAACGTAACCTTTGTTTTTCTCATAAAAATAACATGTATCTTTCGGATTGGTTTGTGATTCATATCGGCAAGGTAAACACGTGTATTTTGCTATAAAATGCTCTTTAAACAAACACTGTATATTCCTCAATAAACTAGTAGTTATGGCCGGAAAACAGGTGTTTTGGGATAAACAATTGGAAATTCTCAAAAAACTACTTGACGAATATACTCCAATTTTGTTGCTATCATTTAGGAGAATGAATCCTACAGATTTAAAGAATTGCAAGTAGTTGCGTGAAATTATCGTCGCATAACCAAGTGCCAAAACCTGCATTTTGCCTGGTTTTTGGGCCATAACATTTTTGCTACTAGTCGGATCATTTCACGAATGGGCTCATTTTGTAGGTCTCATAAATACCTAAAAATCTTATATGAAAAGTTTTTCGTTCCTGTCAACACTTTCGATTGAATCCCAAAAAACAGGTTTTCTAATTCTTTGTTGTCAAATGAAAAGTTTTCCTACAAAAATTAGTGTACCCATTTTTTGCGTTAATGTTTTAAATACCCCCTTGAACAACTTGCACCAATAAAACCAGAGAAGCCGGAAAAATTTCTAATACATAACATATTTTGTTAATCGGCAAATGAAATATAAATAATGGCAAGCCCCTAGGACGATGTTAGTTATTTCATCGGTCGAGAGTCGCATACACTGCAGAACTAATCATTCCTCCTAAATAAGCTAATCTCTTATAAGAAACGAATAATACGAATATAGGGCATGGAGTGTGGAGCAGCCGAGGAGCTCAATCCATAAAATAATGGACCTTAAAAATCAACGTTGAGCTTGAAGCGATTTGTATATCATGCATGTACTTATTGATGTATTCAATACGTTGATGAAATATTCAGCATACACTCACCTTCATTGTCAAATTGTTGTTTGAATGCTGTATTTTATTTTATTAAGTTTATTGCCCTAATAACGGTTTTTTATATGTCTTGCAATAAACATCGTTATTATTATAAGGGACCGTGAAGCAGGCTATATGTGATGTCCTATTTGGCAATATTACTAGGACTTTCCATCTTCTGTGCACGTTTGACCTCCAGTTTTCGGTGCATTTCGAACTGCATTTCATTATGACAAACCGTACTCGAAAAGGATATATCTAATCTCTTAACGGAAATTAACGTGTGCTTCTATGGTTATACATCTTATACTCGTAGATCATATAACAGAGAACAACATAGAAATTTTTCATGCATATTCGTTTTCTGATGTTTCATTCAACTTGTAAAAACGATGAAATATTTCCAATTACAAGAACCTAACAACCATGGTAATGTTTCAGCTAAATCTTGAAATTAGTTGCCAGACATATTCAGTTTGAAGTAATGCTCCTACGTTTCTGAAACTAGAGCATGATCAAAAAGTTTCAAAATTTTATATAGCGAGGAAGTCAATAGTATATTTTTCTAGAATTTAGATGAATCATAATTGTAGAAACATGCTTCATAATGGTTATTTAAGGAATGTGAATATTATTATAAAATGTTTTTATCCATTTCCATCATAAATTTGTTCACCTGACAGTTCTGCCGCTGAATACTTTATGGGACACAGCTGACACCTTTCATCAATATAAGTTCCAACGCACTTGCTGCATCATATGATTAGACAGGATTTGTTTTATGTTTGCACATACGCGATATGTATGCTATAAATTGGGTGCCGGCCGTCTCTGATATGAGATCAATAGAAGTACGAGTAGTAAATCAATCGTCGGTTTTGCGGAGTAATTTGTATAACATAAGACGTCATTCGAATACAGGCAGCTCGCTGAATGCGGCATATCAAGGTGCGAGATGAACGGTCTTCCAACAAGGATGTAATGTATTGATGTTAAAAGCTGTGTGAAGGTTGGTTCTAATATAACATCTACTTTTTAGTTAGGTAATGAAAGGAAGTACTACTTCCAATAATCAATAGCTACTCAAACGAAGGATGTCTGACTGATTGATGACTCTTCTCTGACGGACAGTCTCAGGACCCTTTCGCACCGACGAGCCATGACGGTCTAACTCGCTTCTGCCACCATGTCAACGGGCTTTGTTCCTAAGACTTCTCCTCCATGATGCTGCCGCGCTATGAGCCTCCAAGGCGTATCCGCCTGACATCGGTGTCCCATCCTAACCGTGTTGAACTTCGTACATCCACAACTGGCCGATATGACCGCTCCTCTGTCCGAAAGGCTTAGAGATTTTGAAACAATCTGTCTGCTTTTCCCAGTTTTAGGCTTAACCTTAGGCTTGAATATTGATCTAATTTTTTACATAATTGCCAGTCCATTCGATCCATTTTTGTAGACGCTGTGCCAGTTTTGGTACTCCCATATATAGGTTGCCACCAAGTTCTTGTGGAGGCATTGGAGCTCATCTTCCACGTCGCAGCCAATCTACCTGCAGAAAATTTCTGACAAAAGAGCTGCAATGAGGCAAGCAAAAAAGTCTTGTCGTCCTGATGACAGTCGCAGAGCGACAAATCTTTTTCATGGAGTAAGAAATGCTTTTCATGGATTCCGCAATGAGCAATGGAGCAACATTCTGGCAGGAATTCTTGACTTAAGTATTTCTCTCTGGAAAGTTGCTTCGGGTGGTCTCATAGACTTTAGGACAGGGGAAAAGATCGAGGT